ATAATCAGAGGAGAGAGAGAGAGAGAGAGAGAGAGAGAGAGTGTGTGTGTGTGTGTGGTGTGTGGTGTGTGTGTGTTGTGTGTGTGTTGTGTGTTGTGTGTGTGTGTGTGTGTGTGTGTGTGTGTGTGTGTGTGGTGTGTGTGTGTGGTGTTGCTGTGAAGAGAGAGAGAGAGAGGTAGTAGAGTGAGTGAGTGAGTGATAGAGAGTTAGAGTTATGAGTGAGTGGCATGTGCGTGTGCGTGTGCATGTGCGTGTGCATGTGCGTGTGTGTGAGTGGGGGCACAGGCGTGCGCATGTATTTTACCTATATATATTTTTTTGATTCTTTTTAGATTTACAGCATGAAAAGCTTCCTATCAGCTTTTCGGTAACTTTACATGGTATTACAAGCAACATTTTAGCTTTAAAAATAGAGTTCTAGTTACTGTTTCCATAGTTAAGTAAGATATATGGTCCAAGTGAAGTGATCTGGACTTTGTTTACAAGTTTATTATGTGGCAATGAAAAAAAAAAAAAAAAAAAAAAAAAAAGAGAGAAAAAATGTGGAAAATATTTTAGAGAATATGAAAAAAAATGGAGATGATAAAGAATGTCTTTTAAGAGCAAAATCTGCACGGCAGCTGAAATGACTGCATGTCAGTGCGGAGTGTTTAGGTGAGGTCTCAAGCTAAGCCTATGTCCTTGGCAGTCAATGACCAACTTCCTTCGGCTTAACAATCCCAAGACATGATGAAGATGGGTAATGGCTAAGATATAATCTAAATGAGGCTACAGTAATATGAGCAAATACCTAAAATATAATACAAACACCAGAAGACAAAGATATTTCATTAGGACAACATTCTCCATGAGTGCTGGAGAGACGATATCCATACATCCTTTTCCATGAGAACATCCATTTTACAAGTATGAAAAAGAGTGAAAATTTTATGTGAAATACAAAATATATGGCATGCACAGAAACCAAATTTACCTGACAACCACAACAGTAATGACCCTCCTATATAAAATCTAGATGAGCCAGATTACATTATCTGTGTGTGTGTGTTTACATATGTGTGTGTGTGTTTACATGTGTGTGTGTGTGTTTACATATGTGTGTGTGTTTACATATGTGTGTGTGTTTACATATGTGTGTGTGTGTGTGTCTGTATGTTTTTATTTGATTGAGTTTGTCTTACATAAACACACACAAAGTGGTTTTAAAAACCCTAGTTTAGTCACTTAAATCATAACTCCACAGAGCCTATACAGTATATAAATGACTGCAACTGAATATCTTACAAACGGGACATGTAAAAGTCTTCTAAGCAATATCCTGTAAGAGAAGGAATAATGCTAATTCTTTCTTGATCCTTAACACTGAGCTGATCATCCGAAAGTTTATCTAAAATGGCATTGGTCTTTAAACTAACAAAATATGTGGTCATAACTGGTAATAATAACATTAAAGACAATAAACAAAAATAAATAATAATAATAACAATAATAGTAAAAATACCACCACTGCCACCATAAACGAAAAAATAATAAGGTGAATTAGATATCTTTTCTTTTGTTAAAAATAATCATCATCTTGTTCTTAAGCAAAACAATGAAAAAATCATACACATTTAAGTGTCTTAATATCCTCCTCACATACAAAAATCTTAACATGGTCTCTCAGCTTGACTTCTTTCTTCTGTACTACAAATTACTGAATGTAATTCTGTTATCTACTATAAAGGAATGTGTAATGTGTGATATATAAAAAATTGGTTTGTATTTCCCATGAAGTGTCTGTTCTTTTAGGTCCAGTAAACAAAACCAAAATAATGGTTTAGTTATGGAAAAGTACTATCCTTTTACTTGGACCTAATTCATTCATCTATAAACTGAAAGAAACATTGAAAAAAATATACAAATGCAATAAAATGTTATCATCATAATGAAAACATACATCTAATGACAATTCTATAAAATACAATAAAAACACATCATAATGAAAATAAGCACTTAAAAAAAAGGAAGCATGATAACCTATAGTTAACCACACTACAGACAGAGATTGAAGACTTCTGTGTCAACACCTTAAAAAGTTAAAATGGACATCATTAAGGTGCTAACTGCCACTCATAAAATGGCATTTATGCTGCACTTTTTTCCTAAGCTGAGAGTACTTTATATCCTTTTCTGATCATAAGCTAAATATATGAATGAAGTAAAAAATTGCCAAGTCTAGTCTTGACGGTGAGAGTAATTCAGTTTCCTTACACATTCATGATATTATGGTACTTGTCCTATTGACTTCCCATGCTTTAAATTCCCTTCAAAGTGATGAATTTGATGTACTGATAAATGAGTAATGTAGTCTATTCCTTAACAAATAAAAACATATAGATCCTATCACTCTAACATACACACATAATTGCAAGAACACATGCACATGTGCACGCACACGTGCACACACACACACATGCACACATACACACACACACACATACACACACACACACACACACACACACACACACACACACACACACACACACACACACACACACACACACACACACACACACACACACACACACACACACCACGCACGCACGCACACACGCATGCACGCACACGCACATGCACACGCACACACACGCAAAATTAAACAGGTCATATACTAGTCACTTTTTCTAGTAAAATACAAAAAATAATATATATATATATATACCTAATGCCATCACATATATCAATCAACTTTATATATGGCTTTATCTAAAAACTATTAAACCCACAATAATACGAACTAGCACACATTCTTATGGAAAGTATGAAAATCTAGAAAAAAAGAGAAACAGAAAAGCATAAAAGAAGAGAAAATAAGAAACAACACCCCTATACCTGTGGGTGTATGATGTGTCGCTATGTACAAACATCCCTCACGGTATATCTAATTTCTTATAAGAAAGTCTAGAGCTGAGATAGTAGGTGGTGCCACACAGCATGGTCGACCTCATGAGAAGTCAGCACTCTACTATACGCGCTTCAAGGTTGTAGAGGTTGTAGTGAATTATCAAAAGTGTATTTCAACCTTTGGAGCAAAAATCTAAGCTACAAAATAAAAGAAGAAATTTACAGTGATGAGTATAAATAGACTTGCAGGAGAGCTACCTTATTAGTATCATTACTTATACTGAAATAAATCAGCTGGTGCACCATTACACTGACTTATATCCTACCTACAAGACTTTTCTCCAACTTTAAGCCAATCCAACTTTAATAAGTACACTGCAAAAAATGTAGGGAATAAAAGAAAAAAACTAATGAGCAAAATAACAATTCAATTCTGGACTTATCATTTCCGAAGAATCCTCATTGAAGATAACTAAAACAGAATAATAATATTTGAATACATATACATATATATACATACATATATTTCATAATATATATATAATATATATATATATATATATATATATATATATAATATTATATATATATATTATATATATATATATATATATATAATTTCATAAAAAATCTGCATATTATCAAAGCCTTCTAAAGGACAAAAGCAGGATCTCCCAGTCCGTCCAGCACCACCTTGCCCTGCTAAGACTAGGCAAGCCAAGATGTCCTTCAGGACCCTTTTGCTACAAATCATATCTGTTTTTAGATGTTGATTTGTTAATCTTTATATTTGTAGTATTCATTTTCATTGTCTAATTTATACAGTTATTCAGAGATATTAATATCATATATCATATATATATATAATTATAAATATATATATATATATATATATATATATATATATATATATATATATATATATATATATGCATATATCATGTGTGTCTATACGTATATGTGCACCCCCCCACACACACACATACACGCACTCGCACACGCACAAACACGCACACACATGCACACACACAACACACACACACACGCACACACACACAAGCACTCGCACACACACACAAACACTCGCACGCACGCACGCACGCACGCACGCACGCGCTCATACACACTCACTCACGCACACGCACCCCACACACACACACACCCACACACACACACACATACACGCACTCGCACACGCACAAACACATGTATATGTATATGTATAAATATATTATATATATATATATAATATATATATATATATATATATATAATATTTATATATATTATATATATATATATTATATATATATATATATATATATATATATATATGTACATATGTACATATGTACATATGTACATATGTACATGTGTACATGTGTACATGTGTACATATGTATATATGTATATGTCTGTCTGTCTATCTGTCTCTCTGTATGTATGTATGTATGTATACATACATACATACATACATACATACATACATACATACATACATACATACATACATACATACATACATACATACATACATACATACATACATACATACATCCATCCATCCATCCATCCATCCATCCATCCATCCATCCATACCATCCATCCATCCATCCATCCATCACCATCCATACATACATACATACATATATAATATATTATTATATATATATATATATATATATATATAATATATACATATAATATATATACATATATATATATATATATATATATACATATATATCTACTCTTTTATCTATTTATGCATTTATTTATCTAGGTTCTATTTACTTATGTATCTTGTGTAAATATAAATGAAGAAAAAGGGAACTAAGACATTGTAACCACACAGTTACTCAAACCTGGAGAACCTCATAACATATCTATTATCTTATCACTAACATACAAAAACTTAAATTCCCAAGTAAAGTTAAAAAGACGTTCGCTGCCACTGGTTTCTCTGCCACCTCTAATTCAATGTCTCTCTCTCTCTCCGTCTCTTTTGGGGTACATTATGCTATGGCACCATGATACCACTGGGATACTTTGTGGTACCTTGGGTGGTTTTGTATGACTGCTGAGTGCATAGGAGAATGTAAAAGCAGAAATGGATTGGTTGACAGGTTTAATCTATGTGATTAATTTGGCTCTTACCTAAATTTACATTTAACAATGATACACCTTCACATGTCTGGACAATTGACACGTTAGTGACCATGTGTATAAGTGGATGTTTATAAACGAAATCAATGAAAATTCTGTACCAAGTATATACTTCTCTTAACTATAATATGACATACGAAAGAAAAAGAAAGAAGGAAAGAAAGAGAAAAAAAAAACAGAAACAAACAAACAAAAAGGAAAAAAAAAGAAAAGAAGAGAAAAGATGAGGAATGAAAATTGGAGCATTTGAAAAGGAATGAAATAAACTCACAAAGCTCCTGTCCTGCAACACGTATTAGTGTATGTGCCAGGACATACACAACCTTCTGCTGATAAAACTCCAAACTATGCACATGATGTTTTCAAATGCAACAGTCCACTATATATATATACAATTAAATTCTATTCTCTTATATAAATTTGGTAATGTTATTTATAATAATAATGGTAATAATAATAATAATCATAATAATAATCATAATCATAATAATAATAATAAGAGCAACAAACAACTGCTACTCTATAAACAGTACTATCTTTTCTAATAAAATCTTTATATAATAAGTATATATACTGTTCACGCAGATTCTCCCTCAAATATGCACTCTCGGTCAACACCAAAACATGTATCTATTTCCTATTTTTTGCTATACAAAGACAAACACTTTGTGAAAATGAAGGAGAAAACAAAATATATTTTGCTACAAACTTTGGAAAACAAAAAAGACTGAGAAGAAACAAAAATGGAAACCTGATTAAGATTGATTCAAAAAATTGAAAACGAGAATAAGGCAAGACGGAAGAAAATTGGATAAAAGGAGAAAAAGAGGTGAGAAGCAGACATGAAAAAAGGGAAGGGAAGTGGACATAGAAAAAAAGAACCAAGAAAAAACAATGCAGGTAAAGAAAAGAGAACTGAAAAAAAATGCAGGAAAGAGAATAAGGAGGAAAGGCACAGCATTCTAAAAAAGAAAGAAAGAAAGAAAGAAAAAAAAAACTATTTTCCCCTTCTCTTATTAGCAATAGTGGTGATAGTGTTTGCAATTACAATAATACATTAACAAACATACTGAATAATTTCCCCAAAAAGAAAAACTAAAGAAAACTCAGAAAATAACAATATTACAAAAGAGGAAATATAAAGAGAATGAGAAATGAAATATAGAAAATTAATATAAAAAAATGCACAAGGAAGAAATCAATAACTGACATTGTAGACAATGTAATACCATATTTACAGTCCAATAAACAATATATATCTTAGAAAGAGAGAAGGCAAAGAGTGTTTTTAAAGGTTCACATACAAATAATGAAAATACATTTTACACAGACAAGCACACAAACACACATACAAATGCATAAAAACACATAACAATCTTCAACAAGCACACGTATACAACCGATTCCTCTTGTTCTCACTTTTGTTCTTCAGAACAAAACATTCCTGACCACATACTCAAACATGCACAAACATGCACCCTCAAAAGTACACACATACGCATACACCTACACACACACACATTCAATTTACACTTGCAGATGACCAAAAGATCATACCACAAAAATATGTTGAGTATGGGCTAGTATGACCATCTTTCTTACTGACATTTAAACCAACTGCCATTTATATCACAATATGTAAAATTTACCTCTTTTTTTTAAACATGAATCTTTCAAATAACAATGTGGCTACCATTTCTCTACTATTCTCTCATTTTTTTTTAATATAGAAAATGTGGATGTATTAATATTTTACTTTTTAAATATGATGCTATAATGAGGATCACTATCCTTGCTTGACACAAGGGGTGAAGGTCTAAGCTACCATTCAACAAGAGATAATAAGTATGAGGAGTATATATATATTCATATATATCTAAAGAACAGAATGAGAAAGTTTTGGTGAGAATTCTGGGTATATTGTCAGTAGTATTCTCCTCTCCAGGGCTTATACACAAGGCTATTTGCACCCTCTCACACCTACTGATGGCAAAATTCCTTCCTTGTTTTCCTCTTTCAGGATCTCTTTTCTTCTCACTCCTAAAAATCAATATTCAATCTGCTCAGAAGACAGTAATCACAAGAATCCTCTACAGTAAAAATTAGGATTGGAATCATCTGTATGTTCAAGAACAAATAAACTACTTGATACATTCAAAATTTTTGCATATATCAACATTCAAATCTTCGAGCTCTCTGTGGTTCCTCCATTGCTTGCATATTCAGTTGCTTGGTCCTGGGATTACCCTCCCTTGCCCCCTCCCCCCCAACCAAGACAGTCCACTTGCTTTGCCAAACTTATCTATCTAATCCACGCCTGCAAAGCCTACAGTTCCTTCGATGGCCTTAATGAGCTTTTCCCGCAGCTCATGATATGACTGGTAGGGAGGCAAATCCAGGCGATTGAAGCTGAAAAAGGAAGAATGTGACATTGTAACCACACGAGTCTGCAAGAATTATCTTTCTTCTTAAAATGTTTTTACATACCTGACATGCCATGAGAAGTGTCATAAATCATTCTTTCAAAAATTTCACCATGAACAGGAAAATTGGTATACAACACACTGTTCCTCATACTTACCAGGTATGTGAGCGAGGGTAGTTTTTCGTCTCACCCCACATTTCTATTGTGAATAGCTGTGGGCCATTACTTCCATACAACTCCTTGAAGCCATTCATAGGAACTCGAGAAGTTCCCGTCACAAATTGCAATAGACGGGCTCTCATCTCATTGGTGAAAGACAGCACCACCTAGAAGAAATGGAGAATAGAAAAATATATTAATATAATTACAACTACATACCCACATATAATAAGGCTCCATTAATTGATCTGATTGATGTATAAATATATATCCACATAAAAAAATCACTACAATTATAAAAACGATGACACTGGTGGCTGTATCTATATATGTCATGGAAAGGCTGGGCACGAAAGTTGGAGGGTATCTATACATGCCACGAAAATGAAGGCTGCTCTCTGTTCTGCTATATATGCATGGAATTTTATGATTCTGACAGTACTAGTTCTCAATATAAAACTTCCTAAACCCTTAATTTTCTCCAGCTGCCACAGTACTGAAGTCTGACAACCTACCCTCCAGAACCACTGGATGACTATGTGGTTGGGATGATATTCTCCCTTGTACACGGTGTTCATTCTCCAATCCTTCACATCAATGGAGACGATGCCACACATCAACAGCTCTAATTCATTCTGAAGCAAAAAAGAACAAAAACATAAGTGATCAGGGGCAAAAGAGAGGGACGGGAGGATGGGAGGGAGGGGGAGAAAGAGAGAGAGGGAGAGAGGGAGGGGGAGAAAGAGAGAGAGGGAGAGAGGGAG